TACAAACTGGCCCAGGCCACGTAGAGCTGGTGGATTCAGAGAAGCCCAAGCATACAGCCATCAGTGAGTCCAGCAAAACTGCACTGAGGAAAAATGTCCATTAATCCATGTCTGCCAAGTTCTCCAGCACTCTGGCTAAAAATCTCAGGATCAATAATGCTTTACCAGGTCCTGACTCCTACCTGAGTTCTGTGCTGTGTAGAGCAGAGTTATAGATACCACCCCTTCCCTCACATGGTGCCAGTCTCTATGGATGAGACACAGGAGGGTAAGAGATCGTGTAGAACACTTCATGTGGTATCTGTATCTCATAGTCAAGAACACACTCTAAGAGAAAGGAAGGAGGAAAGCCATGTCATGCCTTCTGGCATTCATAGACGCTCTTATCGTACTCTCAAGATAGTCAAAAGTCATCTCATAAAATCATTTGGGGGCCCAATTCACTCACACAAATGCATTTTTAAGAGGTTTCGAGCTTTGTATTTTGTGTGAGCTCTGACATAATGAAAGAGTGGCAAGCACTGTCACAGAAACGCAGGCCTGGTGGCTTCCCAAGGGAAAGTAGCTGTGCTCTAACCCAGTCACAGCTGAGAGGTCTGGATGGGTTACAGGGCAGTCCTTAATTAAGGTGTAACCTGTGATTCCCAGGGGCAGCTGACTCATAATCATCATAGATGCTCTGTAAAAGATACAAATTATCCAACCACACACACACTGAGGCTCTGTCTGCTTAAGTTGGAGATAACTGTGTAAGCTTTGTATATTTATGTACTTCCCATGACCTTGTCAGTCTGTCTTGTTACTTACAGGAGGAGCATAAAAAGGGGTTGCCCTGGAACAGTCATGAAAAGCTGCCGAAGCTTAGGTTTAACGAACAGAAGATTAAAGGAGGGATGCTTAAATTGGGCAGTGTCTAAGGAAGGATCACAACAGTGACCAAGAAGTGACCTGGAAGCAGTGCTAGCATGGAACAGCTTACGTATCTGGCCACGACAAGAATACAAGGTGGTTTCTGAACCGAAAGCAACATCTCAAAGGGATACAGGGCAGACTCCAGAGCAGACCAGCACAAGGCCACGGATGGTCAATGTACAGCTACTAAGAAGACAAAAAGGATTTGCAGGCTTGCTCACTGCTTAATCCCAGCACCTAACAGGAAAACCCGCCTGCTGAGTAAAAGGTAGAGTTAATACACTGGTGAACTTAAAGGCAGGACTGAATGACTGAATCAAGGATTTCTTCAAAACTCCAATCGGTGAGGCTAGAATTAAAACTGTATGTCAGCCTAAAAAGTTAAAACAGGATGGCCTTGTTTTCAGTCAAAGTTCTTCTTCATGATGTGGGTTTTCTTTTGAGACTTTATATTGGCTCCTACTCCGTGAAAGAATGAGATGACTTTGCGATACTGGAATGTGTAGTTGGCACAGGTATCAATGGCAAGCCTATTTCTGCTTTGGGAAGGAGAGAATGATGGGCGAGATCTTGTGGTTTGGTTTTCTGGCAGAGGAAGAAGGACAGCTTCTGCTCACAGGTATTCCTCCCAGGACCTGTTGGAGCACAACCAGCAGGCACACCAATAGCACAATGGTTTGACTAGACCCATTGTAAACCTTAATGACAGAGCTGACTGGCTCTGTTTAGCCAGGTCAGCCTCAGAAGAGACAGTCCTGAGAAGATTCCAATCAGCCTCAGAAGAGACAGTCCTGAGAAGATTCCAAACTACCTATGATAAGGTGCTTCTGAAGGCTTGAAAATGAGTTTTGCTTTTGGGAAAAAAAACTAGCTGACCTTTTAAAATTCTTTCCCAACTTATGATTATCCTAGATGCCCTTCAGGTGACCATGTCACACAGTCCACTGTTAGGCTGCTCTTTGAATGCCAGACAACACCAGAACAAGGTATACTACTTCGATTCGAATGTCATATAATGCATACATGAATCAAAATATCATAAATATGTAAAAGTACTACTTATTGATCAGCATTTTTTAATGAAATGAGAAAGGCATTCCAGAGCAAGAGTTGGAAGGCATATTCAAATTCCTTCTTGAACACCCATCTTCTGAGCTTTCCTTCTTAAGTGGCAACTCTCTACTGCTAATATAGAACTGAAAGATAAAGAGCCTTTGTTTCTGTCAAACTCTCCAGCACAAGTAATTTGCCCCATTAGAACTGACAAAATACATTTAAAGAAAGACTGCTAAGAGCTATAGTATTTCAGCTTTAATTTCCTTTCTAGCGCAAAGTTTCCAGTGCCTGGCTTTCATAATGCCTTTTGAGGTAGTGCATGGCTCCAAATGACTTGACAGTTTCTTTTAATTTACAGACATCTAAGCATGTTTATAAAATTCCACCAGTTCAAAACGCTTCCTTTCCTTAAACATATTTTCAATTCAAATTATATGTTTACACCAGTCTGTACTTTATTATTTCTAAGATAAACAGTCATGTAAAAAAATTGACAGAAAACCTAGCAACATGTCACTGCTGCCCCCACTGTTGGCCTTTCCCTTCCCCATCCTTCCAACAGTGAAAGTCCTCAGCTGCCAGTGGAAAACATGAATGGGTCCCTAGGAACAGGTTTCCCTGCTGTCTCTGTTTCCTAAAGAAGGGACCCCTAGTTCCTTTCCCCAAACAGTTTTGAACCTTAATGCCTGAGAAGCTTTTCTCCCCTCTGAGCTAACTATAAAACTAAAAAATTCACTAGCTGCAGATATTTTTCCTTTCTGGCCAAAAGGAGCCTGAGCTCAGACACTCAGTACTTTTAAATCCCAGTATACTACTATAGTTTCCAGATTAAAATACAAAGTGCTGGAAATAATGTTCTGTAACAGCCAAACTTTAAAAAACAAAATCATGTCTTTCAAATCTGGGTATATTTATGCTGCTTTGGGTGAAACAAATAGAGACAGGAAAGCAATGTAAATGGATGGCTAGCTGGTTTGGGTTTTGAAACAGCTTTTACTGAGAAAGACTGACTCAACTGCCCAACAAAGGCTGTGTGTAGGATTCTCAAGTTGATATTTTAAAAATATTTATCACCCTTTGAATGATAGTTCACGGGTTCAAAACAGAATCTTTCCAATAAAGCTGCTCACTTGGAAAACATTCAATTCTGTTTTGAACTAAGAAAATGGTAGATGCCCAAACATAAAGAGATTTCAGGGAAAATCTGGCAGAGAGAAGAGACAAGCACATTTAAGGGAAAACAAACAACAGCAAACCCCATCAGGCCTTAAGAAGCTATCAAAGTCATACAGAAGCTCCAAAGGACTGTTTCCTAGCAAATCTCTGAACCAGGTTCTGCAAAGAAAAGGTCTCCAACTTTGCACAATTTATGAGATCCTCTCTGGAAAATAATTCAATTAAGCTGCTTTTTTGCACTGTTTTGCACAGCTATGTAATGCAATGGTTGTTGTTGTTGTTTAGTGTTATTTGTTTTTCTCTGAAATACACACAGAATAGCTCCAATTTAGTTTACAGCGAGCCAAAGTTCAGACTAGCTGAGTAAGACTACTAATTTTAATGGATTAAACATCTTTTGCCAGTGAGAAATCCCAGTAAGTCTCAGAGTTGTGTTTTTACATCACAATCGCTCAAATAGTCACCTAACCTATGCAGTTTCCAATTCTAAGTTCCCCGGGCTCGAACACTATACAAGCATCTGCTGGCCCACACAGCAGGGCCCCCACCCTACCCCTGATCACAAATGTCCATCTTCTGCTGAATGCCAAAAGGTTTCCCAATCGTCCAAGGGTCAAAAAGGGAGAGACTATCCAGTCCAGCTAAAGATCTACAGTATCGTCGAAAAGGCTTCTCCATTAATTCGAATTGGGCAACTTGCTGTATGCCAAAGGAATGGGAAAGGAAACAAGAGTAAATTGAGCCGGCAGCCCTAGGACTGCATGTTAATAGAAGGTGCTTGGACTTCTACCTGCCAAAACAGAGCTGTAGTGATCCTGGTAGGGGCCTCCACACTAGTGAGTCTAGGAATGGGTTCACTGGGCAACACGGAGAAACAAATTCCAACCCCAGAAACACAATCCTGACCAGAAATCAGGTTCCCACCGCCACAGAGTGGGAAGGATGCTGGTAGTGGAAGAAGACAGTCTCACAGGAGATTCACAGGATCATGAGCTTGGCAGAAAAGAAGTCCTCATCCCCCAGCAGCCAGATGCTCTCACAGCCAAAGCTATGTCACAACCACTCTCATCTTTCCATCTTGCGACATTCCAGAGCCGCCCGGATTAAGATTTTATCTGTCCTACAGCCCCAGATTCACTTCACGAGGGGGGTTCGTGGAAGATTGCAGAGGCCAGAGAGCCCGGATCTGTTCCGGAAAGCTCCAGGCGGCTAGGAGTCTACGAATAGAACACCGACTGCGTCTCCACGTAGTGTGAGTGCCTTGCCACCGCGACAGGGAGCATTAAACAAATGAACTTTTAGAAACTTCCTCTCCTGATACTCTAGGCTTCTTTAATATGGACCCTGTCTCCCTAAACTTGCCTTCAGTCGAGCCAAAAGCATGGAGTAGGGGGATGGTGTCTAGAGGAACAGATCCTCCCCAAAGTTTTCAACTCATCCCTGGGGCTTGTCCAGCGCGCAGAGCTTACCGGGGTCCTTTTCAAGCCCTTAGTGGTGCTCTAGTAACTGCAACTTTTAGCCCTCTGTCCTTCCTGGACCACACTACAAAATTCCCCGAAGGCAGAAAGTTGAGAGTGACTTTAGGGGCCTTTGGGGTCACCAAACTCCGAGTCTTGTGCCCTCACCCCCGAAGACATGGGGTAGGTGACTCATTGTAGCAGCTCAATTGTGCAAGAGGGAAAAGGAAAGGACCAGGGACAAGTGGTGGAAAAGCAAGCTTATTTGTCTCAGTAGATTCTAGGAAGCCTCAGTTCAGAGGTGGTGGATCCCCCAGGTGGCGCTCCCCAATTACCCGCTGGCTCTTCTAGTTGCCTGGGCACCCATAACAGCGCGCATCCCCGGCTGGGCCCACTCACCGTCTCTGCGGACACACAGGCCATCAAGCCCAAGGTGAGCAGGATCCACGCGCGCTGCATATTCCCTGGGGACGTGGCTCGTACCCGGATAAAACGAAGCCCAGCGCACGCCGCAGAGGGCCTAGAAAAGATAGGGGCTGAGCTGCCTCCGGGAGAGAGGCTTGGGCTCAGATTCCAGCTCTAGTCGTCTTCTCTGGCGCCTGCTCTAGCTTTCCCGCTGCGCCCCGGAAACGCGGCGCCTTCTCACTTGTTGGCTTCTGCACTCCCAACCCAGAGTTGCTGCTTCGCGAGGCTTTTTTCTTGATCTGGTCCTACTCAGCGTTGTGCTTTCACTCCACGGACTCGGGTGTCGGATCGCGGTGCTGTACGATTTGAAGCAAGCAGTCGAAGGATTGAAACCGAGCTGCCGCTGAAGTTTAAGATGCCGAGCGGCAGAGACGCGCGATCCGCAGGGCCGGAGCTCCAGGAGTATCTGGAGTACTGCTCTCCGCGGCTGGGTTGGTGGCTTGGCTGCAGCGCCCCTCCTTCTGCGCGCCGCCGCCCTCGGGTCCTCCCCTTGATCCCACCCCACGCCCCTCCGCGTCCTCTCCCTGGTCCTGGTCCTGCTCCGCCTCCACCTCTACCGCCCCCACCTTCCCTCCCTTCCTAGCCTGCAGCTCAGGGTTCCTCCGGGCGACTGAGGTAAAGAAGGTTGCCAGGACTCCATGATAAACCAGGGAGAATTTCTTACCGGATTACACTGCGATTGGCAGCTCCCAGAGCCAGTGGGAGCCTGCAGCTCCACGCCGTGGCTGCCCCCGGAACGTGCCTCTGCAAACCTTAGGGCTCTTTCATTTTCTCTCTCCTTCTTTCCCCTTCTCAACACCCCCTCCTCTCCCCACCACCGTTCTGTCCCCTTTCCCTTTTCATCTCCTTTTCTTCGCTTTAATTTTCTAAAGAAAAATCGGTGAGGGTTTAACGGGCATTCTGAGCCTTTTCTTACTTGTGAGGATTGGATCACTAGAAAGATGAGAGTCGAAAAAAATAAAGTTTATCGATTCCCCCTTCAAGCATGTACAGTGCCCATTGGCCACCAGATCATTGAGACTGGAATTCAGAAAAGACCAAAATGATTGTAACAAGTTCATGTCAAGATTCTCCTCGGACCCTTCCCCCATTCCCCACCTCCACCCCCACCCCCAGCCCCCAAAAAAGCAGAGGAAGGAGTTTCCGAAAACCCAAAACGCAACAGCTCCGAAGCACAACTTTATTAAAGGCTCAAAACCCATTTCTGCTACTCACAGTTTGTGCTCCCTCACCGCCCCCACTCCACCCCCAAACACACCCTGACCCAGGCACCCTCACCCCCCCCACTCCACCCCCAAACACACCCTGACCCAGGCACCCTCACCGCCCCCCACTCCACCCCCAAACACACCCTGACCCAGGCATCGTCTAAGGTCAACTTCCACATTTTTACATTTGGAAAAGGTAAAATTGTTTACATTTGAAAGCAACAAATAGAGATGAAAACTTAGAGATTCTAGATAATAACAGATGAAATAAAATTTCAGAGAAGTGTTAAGTCGTTTCTGGCTTTAAGAAAACAATGAGTATGTATTTCCTACATAAAGCAAGAGAATGTGTCATGCAGTTCAATGCTGTATGGTGCTACAGAACCAGGCAGCCACATACCTTTCTAATGCCCACCACTGTTTTCTTTCCTCTTGGATTTAGGAACTGAACGAATTATGGATTCATTTTCTTCTGTGATGCCCATTTATGAAGGACAGAGACTTTTCAGTATTAGTAACGATTTTGTTATTGTGTGGGATACATTAAAAATACACAATAACTATGTTGTAGGTAAATACTACTCCAGACCTCAAGCCACACCATACATAAGCTATGCCCCTTTAACACAAACACACACACACACACACACACACACACTCACACACAGAGATACAGACGTGAGGCCATAGTCATTTTATAACTCATACTAAACCGTAGTCACATCCTAAGTGACTATTACAATGTTTTAGTGATAAATCACTGTTGTAAATCTCAAAAGAAAAAATTAGCAGAAGAGTCATAATTCTTTAAGACATCAACTCTGGCTCAGATAACTAACTCCCAACTTCCTGGTTCTTATGAGCAGCCTAAGGCACTGGCACCAAGAGAAGACAGGGAAGGATGCCACTAATGGTCACTGGTGGTCATCAGAAAGATCTATAGATCTTGGAATTATGAAGGCATATTTCTACATCTACTAAGTGAAATTTTATAAAAATCGGTGGAGACTAAAATTCAGTGTGAAGTATATCTGGTACAGAAAAGATAAACCATTGATTATTCTCCATATGTTCTGTGGTCCTCCAGTTGACAAGCTGGACTTTGAAGGGTATAACAAGAAAATATTCTTAACTGATGTCTTCTAAGAAGCTTTGATGGTGTCATCTCAGAAGAAAATATACATGATGAGGGCCAGTGATATGGTCCAGCACGTTTAGGCAGTTGCTGTCAATCCTGACCACCTAAGTTCTATCCCTGGAACACACATGATGGAAAAAAGAAAACCAGCTCCCAAAAGTTGTTTTCTGGCTACCACATGTGTGTCACAGTATCACGCATGTACATGTCCATAAATGTGCTTAAAATTGAGAATTAGAAAGCATATAAAACAAATAAAATGTAAAGACTAACTGAAGAACCAAAAAATTTAAAGAAAACTGGACATTTTTATTTTTATATGTTTATTTTATATATGTTTATCTTGTTTGCATGCAACATGTATGTGTGACATATAACTGCAGTGCTCAAAGAGGCCAAAAGAGGTCATCAGAACCACTGGAACTGGAATTATTGAAGATTGTGAGTCACTAAGTGGATTCTGGGAACTGAACTGGGGTCTTCTGCAAGAGCAGCACATGCTCTTAACTGCTAAGCCATCTCCTCAGCCCCAAGAACCAGATAAAATTTTAAAAATAGAAATAACTGCCATTGGAGACAGTGTTTCACCTAAGATAGCATCACTGTCACTAGTGTATCTAATGGCAATTATGACCATGAATAAACAGACGCTTCATCCTAAGGTGGCTGACAAGTGTGTGGAGCTGCAAAAGCAACACAATGTCACTTCACAGATCTTGATTGTTCTCCTATTTGCTGTTCCATGGAATGTTGCCATGGCTATAGGCTAGAAATCAATTTGAAGGAGTCAGCCTGAAAGTGATAGAATTTGAAAGCAAAGGAAACCCAATCAGCCAACTATTAATCACTCATTGCTAGTAATCGCAGGTGAGCTAAGGCTGTGACAAAAATCTGCAGGTACTCCAAACAAAATTCATTTTTAGCATAAAATTTTCACTGTTTCTTGGCCTCCATCAGCCCTTCACCAGGGAAGTTTTCTGGTTTCAGTTATACAAAATTGGCATGGTGTTGAGGTTGAGCAAAATTCATGTTTCCATTACTAATGAAACAGACAGGAAAGGTAGGATACTCTAAAATACATAAATTATCCCTTAAGTAGGATAAGAGATGAAACTGTTGAGTCTACTTACCTAGTGTATCAGTACAGTTCTTAAAAGGCAATCACCAAACGTGCATGGCCATCTTGCTAGGTGCTGTCTGACTAGTGCATTTTCTTAAATCGTTAAAAATTTACTACAGTTTTAGTGTAAAAGTTGGTGATATACTTGTGCAATCTTAGTACTGGTTAGTCTAATGCAGAAGGACTGCAAGTTCAAGATCAGCCTTGGCTACATACTGAGACTCTAACCCAGACCAAAACAAAAAGTGGGAAGAAAACAATCAAAAAGACAAAAAAAAAAGACATAAAATAATGTTGTACAAACATTGTTTTGCAATATGTATATACTGTAAAATGATAAAATCAAGCCAATTAGTTACCTTTTGTGATAAAAACAATCTTAAATTTTATTCCCTTAGCTATTTTTAAAAATGTAATAAATTCTTAATAACTACAGCCAAAGTAGTTATAGTAGAATTCTTAAATTTATTCCTCTTGTCTAACTAAAATTTTGAATCATTTGGCTGACATGCACCCTGGGTCTGGTAACCCTTGTTGTATAAACTGAACTTTTATAGATTCCACATATCAGGGAGGTCACGTGACATTCTGTGACTGTCTTTTTCATTTAACAGAAGGCCCTCCAGGTTCAAGTATATTATCACAAATAGATAATGAGATTTCCCTTTTCTTAAGGCTAAATAGGACCCCATTGTTTATACACACTGCGTTTGCATTATCCACCCAGATCCACTTCTTCCATTAGAATCTTCAGGAGACTTTGGATTCCTTAAGGCAAATTTCTCTTCCTTTATTAAAAGCTATTAGAAGAGTGTTTCTTCAAACAAGGAGTTGATCTGGGGGAGAATGGAGGGGAGGAACTAGGAGGAGTGGAGGGAGGGGAAACTGCCGTTGGGATGCATTGTTTGAGAGAACAGTAAAGATTAAAAGGGAGGAAGAGTGTTTATTTTGTTATTATCAACAAATAATATCAATGAAGAAATTAAAATGAGGCTGGACTATGACAACTTTATCTTCATTCTAGGCTGATATGAAATTCTTGCCATTTAGTAATCAATGAGACATGTATAGGTCCACAACAGTCTTAATAAAGACAGAATCTTGATACACTTATTAGGTTCACATGAATTCACATCATCAAAAAGTTATTTAGATGGGGGAAGGGCAAATTTTAAAGTAAAAGAGGCTTATAATTATTGAATTTCCTTAGGAGAAACGTTTTCCTGTAGAGTTAGGTATTTCAGATACTCAAAAACAAAACAAAAAAATATGATAGAGAGGCAGACAGACAGAAAGACAGACAGACAGACAGACAGACAGACAGACAGACAGACAGATATCTGATGACAATTGGGCTAGGCACCAATCTATGAGTAGAATATCATTAGGAATCATTTCATTGACTTTTTTTCCATTTGTGTTTGGTTCTATATGAGGTCTCTGGGCTATCCCACCTCTGGTTCCTAGCCCTCCAGGAAATCTCAAGGGTTGGCTCCCTCTCATGGCATGGGTCTCAAGATGAACTAGTCATTGCTTGACCACTCCCACAATTTCTGCACCACCTTTGCCCCAGTATATCTTGTAGGCAGGACAAATTGTAGGTTGAAGATATTGTGGCTGAGTTGGTGTCCCAGTTCCTCTAATAGAGGAAATCTTGCAAGGTTACAAGAGATGGCTGGCTCAGGCTTTGTATTCCCTGTTGCTAGGAGTCTTTGCTAGGGTCACTCTTATAAATTCCTGGGCATTTCCATTGCACTAGGTTTTTATCTCATCTGAGAGATGTATCTCCCCCATTCCAGTTGATTGTCCTAGTACTTTCTCCTTCCCTCCTTCCTCCCCTCAACCTGATCACTCGTAGACCCATTTCCACCCTCACATCCAGACGACTCCCTGTGTCCACCAACAGTAGCTATTCTATTTCACCTTCACAGTAAGATTCATGCATCCCCTCTTGAGGATCCTCCTCTTAGCCTTCTTGCATCCTCCTTTTAGCTTCTCTGGGATTATGGATCATAGCATAGTTATCCTTTATTT